ACTTGTATTTACTCAATACAGTGTTTAAACATGAGTTTTTTGCCTGACTCCATAAGCTACTAGACGCAAGATTCAAAATTCAGATTTGGGTGTATTTTGATTAATGCAGCCACAGACCTATACACAAAGGTTTGATTAAATGACCTCCTTGTGTTGTAGGCCTTCTGGAGACAGGCCCCCCAGAGGGCGTGGTGGCGGCAGGGGTGGACGTGGTGGTCGAGGACGGGGAATGGGTCGTGGAGACGGATTTGATTCACGTGGGAAGCGAGATTTTGACAGACACAGTGGCACTGACAAATCGTAAGTCTTGATTAAATGAGATTCTCAGTTAAATCAGTCTTAGTATTAATTTATTTTTTCCTGTTTTTCTCAAGCAACCAGAAGAGTGATGAAAAGCGTGGTGGCAGTGGTTCAAATAACTGGGGCTCTGTAAAAGACGAGATCAGGTGAGAAACCTCTTCTGTATTGCTGGAACTGTAAGCTTCTTTTTTGTTACCTTTGAGCATATTACCACTCTATCTGAGCATATTGTTATTTTATATGAGTAACTAATGCCAAGGTTCTCGGCTTTTTTCAGTGAGGCTGAGCCAACTCCTGCTCCTGAGACTGCTCCTGAGGGAGAGGAGAGTGCTCCTGCTGGCTCTGAAAACAAGTATGTATTCTGCTCCTTATTAGAACGATTGCAATCTATAATCTATAATTTTGGTTTGGATATTTGTTCTAAGTTTTTAATAACCAGGGCTAATTTGTAAAGTATAAAAACTACAAATCAGGGTCTAGATTTTGCATATTTGATATTTCACTTTCAAGTTGTGATCTATAAAGAAGGTTGTGTTTAGTCCACAATAGAGGTTCCTTTCCCTTTTTATATTTCAAAAAAAAAAATTATATTTGTATTTCTGCTTGTGGGGAATAAAGTTTCAAACGCTAGTCATAATTCTATATACTATTCTATAAATGAGACCCCTGTAGTATTGATTTTGGCTTTCCATTTGCTTTTCTAAGGCACAGAAGGCAAAACCTACACACAAGCCTTTTAAAAAACATTGTAATGTCTGCTGTTATTTTTGTCACTAATATTGGTACAAATGGGATAAACATTGTCTGACCTGCTGGCCTCAGGATTAGACACTACGCCTAGCGCTAAGAGGATTGCTTTGTTTGAAGTTCACACAAGTCCTTCTTGAACTTGCTTCAGAGAAAATGAGGTTGAAGAAGTAAAGAATGAAGGTCCCAAAGAGATGACTCTGGACGAGTGGAAGGCCATGCAGGATAAAGAGCGCACCAAAGTCGAGTTCAACATCCGCAAACCCAACGAAGGAGCTGACAGCCAGTGGAAGAAAGGATACGTGCTACATAAGTCCAAGAGTGAAGATGTAAGCTATTTGTGCAGTTAAGTGTGTAGTTTTAAGGAGTAGTTGATGAGTTAACACTTTTTTTAAACTATTTTCAGAGACCAGTTGGAGCTTTGATTGACCCTCCAGAGGCTGAAGTAGAGGCTAACACTCTTTACCACAAGGTAAAATCTTTTTTTTTTACTACTCCTAAACTCTCAAGCATGCAAACTCACTGTCGTGGACTTGCTAGTGTTGTACAATTAATTGTAGTAATCTGGGGAGTTGGAGAGAAGAGCTAGACTGGAGTTCTGATGCAGGAGAACTTCATTGACCATCAGTACATGGTCCAGCACCCTGACCTGAAACCTCAAGATATTGTGATGGTACTGTCCATGTGTCCTAGTGTAGACCAGACTGACTATGCTTCCATTTTGATGACGTAAATCAAGATGACAAGGATTGAACTGGCAGTGTATGCCCTTCGTCTAGCACCCTCTATCAGCCATTTTATCATTATTTGTAAATGTTTATCATTTATACTCTTTTTCTTGTTGTGTAGGGCACTCCTGATGAATCAAGTGATCATCATTTCCGCAAACCAGCCAACGATATCACATCCCAGCTTGAAATAAACTTTGGAGACCTGGGCCGTCCTGGGCGCGGGCGTGGGGGAGCTCGTGGAGGGAGGGGCGGCCGTGGTGGGGGAGGCAGCAGAACAGCACGAGGGGGAGGACGCTCTGAAAAGGTAACAATAAAAGCTGTTTTCACAGCTTTAACAACAACGTGCAGTTAGAATGAATAGAACAGAAAACCACTGACTTGGAAACCCAATTGTGGTTTGTTAAATCCTGCGATGGCATGGGATATGCTAGAGATTATGGCTAGTGTAGCGTTTACTCATCCTGTGCGTTATCAAAGTCTAGTTTATTTTGTGGGATAGTTATTGTTGTTGAAACAGTAATGTTAATAACAGTTTTTTTGCCTTTTCAGATTATAAGATTTGTTTAAAGCTTTTGTTTTTTTGTTTTTTTTTCCTTTGGCAGGCCGGCGGAGTGTCAGTCCCTAACGTGGATGACCCTGAAGCCTTCCCAGCTCTGGCCTAGGCCTGTCCACACCACCTGCCCACCCATCCGCCCCTCCGGGCCCCCTCTCTCTACGAGGCTTGCATGCTTACCACATCCTCAAGTATAAAAGAAAACAATGAAAAAAATACTGTATAGTCATCCCACATCCCCACACCACCAGAGGACTCAGACTTTACGTTAAGGAGAACAAAGACGAGCAGATGGAAAATGGACCTCTTGTTACACTGAAGTTTTGTACCTAGGAACATGAAAGCAGGGATGTTTTCATTTTTATTTTATTTGGCCCACAAATTATGCATTCTTAACTGATGTTTTGTGCTACTTGATTTTCTTCAAATTGGTTAAGTGCAGCTTTTTCCATACAGCTTTTGTGCTCTTCATTGTTTTAGCCTAGTATTGCATTTATACTGGAGTTTTCCCCCAGTAATAACACTGATGTTGTAGCACTACACTACATAGAGGTCTTTTAGTAGTTACTGAAATATGGCTAAACTTGCTTTTTAAAGTGTAATTAAGCTTATCCTAAACTTGGCTGCCCATTTTGTGGGGTTGGAATTGAAAATGGGTATTCAGGTGAAGTTGTATTTTTTCTGCTTGTTGTGCAGTGAGAAGTACATGCCTCTTTCCTTTTTTAATAGCTTGCCTTTTTGGTGGACCAGTGGTTCGTTTTGTATCCCTGATGTGCTGCCTGTGTTTTCAGGGTGTTCCAGGGCCCAATGTATATTTTAGACTGGTCTTCTTAGGTCATACAGACTGTAAAACTTAGGACCACTAAGCAATTATTGTATTTTTTGTTTGAAATGGTGTGAATGTGTGTGCGCGTGCACGTATGTGTGACCCTGAATGTGTGAAATGGACAGCGTGTTGCCGATAGTTTTGAATAATCTTGGTTTATTTTTTTTGGCACATTTTACACCTGAAAAGTTAAACCTATACTGTTTCATTTTAGTTGTGATTGACTATTGTATACTGATACATATCTTGGAGTATCTGTAAAAAAAAAAAAAAAAAAAAAAAAAAAAAAAAAAAACAGATCTCAAAGAACGTGTCCAGATTGTTGGTTCATGCTCACTGTCTAATGATTTTGGTCCAAACTGCAGCACAAATGCATTATTTGTCTGAATTGTCATTGCTGTCATTGTGGAAAAATCCACAGCTACAGAATGTAATGTAAGCTAGTGGTGCTTCGGCCACCTGTGTCAGCACTTCTAGCGAGCATCTTATTTCAATGAAGTGGGTATATATTTCACATGGGACTGGGAGTGTTGGCGGAATATATGTAAAAAGTGACTTAATTTAAATTATGTTGTGTTTTGTAAAGACTTGCTGGCAGTGCCCTGATACAGATGACTGGAGCAGTTTTATGTAGGACTGTCTGGCCACAAACATCCCTCTTCTAATAAAACGCTTTAGAGGTGTTAAATCCACTCTGCCAATCATGGTTATTTCAAATCAAATCGTTTTCATGTCTTCACAAGATTCATATGGAAAACGGGGTACATTGAGCCATTTGTCATTGCATCTGCAGTCTTCGTGTTGAGACGATGTAAAATAGAAATAAAATAAAACCCTTTACATACATTTAGGTTGTTTACTAATTTGTGAGTGATGTGCTTTTAGAGAGATATGCAGTTAATTGTGTTGTTTATCAGAAAGAAAAAAAAAACACTTAAGAAATGTTGCTAAAGCTCACTGGTCATCCAGATAATATTCCTCATGCATTTCTACCATGGGATTGCCCGTAGATACTTAGAACTATAAAACCTACCATTGGTGTAGCCACTGCGCATGCGCCACACATCCGGTCCTGCATCCAGTAGAAAACATGGCAGAACGGCAGCGGCACCGTACCGAGACACCCTTTCAGAAAGCAGCTGGAAAGTCTGAAAAGGCCTCATTAAATGATACTGGACTTTTCCCCAAGCTGTTGTCCGCGGCGTTTTACGGAGTCAGCTCGTTTCTCATTGTGGTCGTTAACAAAAGCGTCCTCACCAACTACAGGTAGGCTATCAAGTCAACTTTAGGGTCAAAGTGCACTTCAATCAAATCTCAGTCGTATAGCGAGTGCCAAGTGTTTATAACAAAACTATACGTGAAATTTGCCGCGTAACAAAATAGAACAAACATTATTGGGTACTAATTATTGTTTTTCTACAGTTTTCCATCATCGACATGTGTTGGAATCGGCCAGGTAACTTAAATCATCACTCACCAAAAGCCACCAAAACCTGATGCATAATACAGCATCTTTATTATAAAATGTGTGACTGCATCTGTCCCATAGACTGTATATGTACATATCTTTATACAGTTTATTACCTGTACACACATTGTGTTTTGTTTATACCACAGATGTTTGCTACAATCTTAGTTTTGAGGCTTGGGAAAATGCTTCGTGTGATCTCATTTCCAGATATAAGTTTAAGTATACCAAGGAAGGTCAGTTTATACTATGGCTCTAGTTACTTCCATGGTTAACACTTGTAATTGTGTAATTATCTTTACTGAATGAATACTCTGTTTATTATTGTTACAGATGCTTCCTTTGCCTTTACTTTATGTGGGCAATCAAATATTTGGACTCTTTGGAACACAGAAGCTTAAGTTAGATGTTGTAATATTTTGTGACTTACAAAGCTACTCGGCTTGATTTAATTTTTTTTTCCTCCTCAGTTTACCCATGTTCACTGTCCTGAGGAGGTTTAGTATTTTACTGACAATGGTATTTGAAGGTGTCCTGCTCAAGTAAGTCCTTTGAACTTTGTTGTACTCACAGGGAGTACAATACAGCACTAAATCCTTGTCTTTTTCACAGAAAATCTTTTTCTATTTCCATAAAAATGACTGTGTTCACTATGATCTTTGGGGCCTTTATTGCTGCCAGGTAAGCTGTGGCTGTGCCCTAATACCTAAACCTCAAAACCTCTGGGCCTGTTTGTTTTTATTTGTTTTATTGCAGCTCTGATTTAGCCTTTGATATAGAGGGATATATTTTTGTAATGCTGAACAATGTCATGACAGCAGCCAGTGGAGCTTATACAAAACAGAAACTTGAGTCGAGGGTGAGTAGCTTTAATTGTAATAACATAAAATACATGACGATGATATTGAATGTCTTTTACAGGAACTTGGTAAATATGGACTTCTCTACTACAATGCTTTGATTATGATTTTTCCCACTGTAGCATACTCCTACTATGTGGGTGATTTGCAAATGGTCAGGGCTCAGTATATAACAAAATATTTAATGTTTCAGTTTTGTTCAGATTTTTTATATTTATTGTTTTGTGACATACACAGGGCTTGAAATTTGATGGATGGACAGATGCAATGTTTGTCTTGCAGTTTGTGCTTTCATGTGTCATGGGGTAAAGTATTTATTTCACACATGGATGTTGTACCGATATTTTAGCTTGACCCCCTTATGGTTTTCACATTCAGCTTTATTTTGATGTACTCCATCTTACTGTGCACGCAGTGCAATTCAGCACTTACCACGAGTATAGTAGGCTGTATCAAGGTAAGTCATTTATTTTACTACATCTCCAGTGTTTTAATGGTGGTATTCTTGCCCTGATGAGCTTCCTCATCACATTCTATAGAATATTCTCGTGACATACATTGGCATGGTGTTTGGAGGAGATTACATTTTCACCTGGACTAACTTTCTTGGTCTCAATATTAGGTAAAACTGTTACTAATTCAGTTTCGTATATCATCTGATCCTCTTCTGATTTTCTGCCAAACCATTATTGTCTCCCATAGTATTGCTGGCAGCCTGGTGTATTCATACCTCACTTTTACACAAAACAAAATAAGTAAGTGTAACAGGTTTGAGCAATTGGTTCAGTTTATTTGACCTACTGAAACTGTTGGACTTTACAGAAAATGCATGACAGAGTGAAGGCCTATTTTGAAGAGGATTAATCAGCACCAGCCTGTCATATAACTTTTTATAGATTACAGAATCATTCTTGAGTTTTAACCATGTACATCCATATGCATGTCAAAAAGTAATAATTTTTTTTATTTAAGGAGCATCTTATTGTATTCTTACAAAAAGAAAATAAAAAGGACTGCTTATAATATCACCTCTGCTATTGATCAATTTACTGCATTTTTTTAAACAGGTAACGTAATACAATGTGTGGTCATTCTTTGAATACACATACATTTGTTTATGTCATTTACAGAAAAATAAACATTTTTAAAGCAACTACATGGTAAATTTTAGAGGAAAACTAATCACAAGTCTGAATGTTTGTGGTAGAAACAACTCACATTAGGCTGCTACTTTACCAAAGAATAAATTAAATCTGAAGAAGATATGTAAAAGATATGTACTTTCAAGAATCCATTTACTGAAGACACTGGCTTCACAAAGGAGCAGAACATGTTCTCTCAATGAAACATCATAATCGGAGGTCATACAGCCAAAGCGATGCTGATGAAAAACTATTTGGATGACACAGTCATCTCCACAACAGATCAAGAAAAGCATGGTATACAAAAGCAACCGGACGATACAGACAAGCAAATGGTTATAAAAATGTACCAACTGCTTTAGGTAAGAAATTTATGCAATGTTTACATTAAAAAACAGACATTCTGTCTAGTAAAAACAACTGTCAAGCACCAACTATGAAAATTCAAAAATACAGCAATCTTCAACATCATGAGTTAATAATACAGGACATCACTGATGTCAGTCTTTACACAAACAAACCTGCTGGTTTATTATTAACGAGATCAGGTATTGTACAGTTCATTACAAGTCAAGGAGTGGAAAAGTTCTGCTGGGTTTCACTTGCACTCCATGAGGAACAATCCATCAAAGTGCGACTGCTAGCTGGCGATAGTCCTTGCCTTACTTGCTTTTTGATAAGTTAAGCAGATATTGAAGTTCATTTTCAACAGATCATGTTTAATCAAATGCATAAATGGCTTAAGACAGTGAACCATCGTACATTTTATTTTATGTTAAAAAATATAAATATCTCTTAAGTATAAAAAAATATTGGGAGTTTTTAAGCGTACAAATAGAAGACAGAGGTTCTAGTCAGAGTTTAAAATGGAGAAGATGGAAGATGTATAGAATGTAGTCGCAGTGTGGTGCTTTGGGATGAGCTTCTCAGGCAGCCAATATATGAAGAGGTCGGAGGCCCTTGGTCGAAAGAGTTGATGGCCTTTTTAAATAAAGTTCTTCTGCCCTCCTAAGATCACTGTGGTAACAAATCCATGTCAATGTCTTATACTGAATACAGTTCAGTTCTCCTGGGTATTCTCCATTTCATGACAAGGCAAATGCTCTGCTTCAGTTCGACACCTTTTCGTTGGTCTCTCAAGCTCCAGAGCTGGATCTACTGTAGAGTGCTCTATTGGGGGCTCAAGAGACCCATTTCGGTCATGGATGGGTGCAGTGGTCTGGCTGCAACCATTGGAGTTTTCTAAAATGTGAGGACGTCCCTCCAAAACTGGGTAAGAAGAAGGACCATTGGACTGGGGTGGTTCAGGCTTCACTTGATGTGCTGCAGATATTTGGGCACCATCCATAGAGTGGCTTGAATTGTGGTTTGTAACACCTGTGAACGTGATTAGAACAGATTAGAATTTGCAAAATCCAAAGCTGTCTGTCGAGACTTTCTGTGAACCAACCATTGTGACCGCTGCCATCTTCTTTCTCAGAGTGACTCGTGCTGCTGCCGGACGTGGCAGGTGGAGGGGATGCTGCTCGACTTGATGTAGCACTCTCCGTTTCATCCAACAGTCTGTCCATGTAATCTCTGGAAATACATACACCTTCACTTTTCACAAGTAGCCAAAATCACAGCATTGAATTACTAGTCATGCTGATTGGTAAAGTTAATCATCACGTAAAAATGATGTTAATACTACTGTGCAGGTAAACTTACGTGACACCAGGGTGAAGGTTGTATTTCCTTTTTCCAAGTCTGGTTTGCTGTGCAAAGAAATCATAACGCTCAGACTTCTTCCACATGTAATAAAAGGCCACACAATCTCCTACAGACCTAGTTCTCACCTGAAAGATTTAATTCAAAATTAACCATTGATATATTTTAACCTATTATCAATCAAAAACAGCAAGTTTTCCCCCAACATCCAGTAAAGCAAGAGATTCCAAAAGAAAATGAAATATTGACGCGAGTTACCTTGTTGGCCTGTATTAAATGAAAATCTTTCCCGTATGTTTTCAGTCCCTGTTCAAAATTTCGACATTCTTCCTCTGTCCAGACTGAGAGTTCCTCTGTTCATCAAAACATGAAAAGTTACCGTGTTATTTTGAAGATTCTGTATTATGATTTTTAAAGACAATGTGGAATACTTACCTCTAGCAGCTTTGACATTAAACCTCAGCCTCCTTAAAGCTTCCTCTGTATCAAAGTCACACTTCACCAGTTCATATAAAGCCTAAAAAAATTTTTACTTTGGTTTGCAAAGGAATCAACGAGAAATAACACAAACCTCCAATGCAAACTTCTATGCTCTTACTTGTTCATTATCTTTGATATGAGCTCCCTCTGGAATGGCATCCACTCCCTTCTCCTCTCCTGTCCGCTTGGACGCCTCAGCCAAAAACTCAACTACTTTGGCTTCAGCCAAACGTTCTGGGTTCCACAGAAGCTGGTCATCATTTTCATAAACTAGGAAAATGCAATCAAAAATGCAAAGGAAATTAGACCATACTGTGGTGAGAGTGCCTGGATTTCAGCAGACTAAACTATACATAGTAGCAGCGCTTACCTTTCTCATTCTCTTTATATTTGCACAGCCCAACAGGAGTTTCTGCTTGATACATGGAACCTACCATAATTTCCTGTTTGAAAAGAAAGTTAATATAGTTGTGCTATATTTTATGCATTACACAGTATGTGTAGTATATAGTAGGACCTCAAACCTTTTTCCAGTCCTCAGACGGAACATAATCTTCATCTTCATCAGATTCTTCTTCAATATCATTATTATCTAAAACAGATAGTATGGTTTATGTTTTGAATTGTTAATGGAAACGTAGAATATATGCACTAAATGACAAATTTACAATACATACTATCAAAGTACTTTAATTTCTGAGGTCGAATAAGTTCTGCTGTGCCAAGTGATCTGACAGGACGTGTGCGGCCCTCAGGGGGAGTCTGCACCTCTTCGCCAGAGGAGCTTTTCATGCCCTCACCCTACAAAGGTACAGAGAATCATTAAAGTACAATGCATCCACAAAATATGAAAGCAGGAATGAATATGTATTAGGGCTGAGTAGGGTTCAATTAAAGCTCAGTTAATATTTTGTAATTATTCAATTTTGTTGTCCTTCTGTTAGATGTGGGCATTATTGGCAAAAATAAATATGATCAATTATCAGTGTTCTGAAAACAATAGTCAGATGGTATTTTTGCAAGGTATAAAATGTGCCTAGTCTCAAGCATCTAATGAAGCTAAAATATGAATCAAATCTATTACCGTATTTTTCGGACTATAAGTCGCACTTTTTTCATGGTTTGGGTGGTCCTGTGACTTATACTCCGGTGCAATTTATATATTAAAATTTTCAGACTGACAGCCGCGAGAGGGCGCTCTAGGCTCGTGTATCAGTATCTAGTACTCCTATTACTCTGGTACCACTGTCACTTTGCACTCTACTGCACATGCCTCCTGTAGAAATAGCTGCTGTCTCGCTGCAAATAGTGAAATATGCAGCCGAAAACTGTAATCAAGAAGCACAGAGCAAGTTTGGTATGAGCGAGAAACTTGTGATTGACTGGCAGAAAGCGGGGATGGAGAGTACAGTTGCGCCATGTAATTTTCCTGGAAGTCAGAATCGACAAAGCCTGAACTTCAATGACGATCAAAACCATCTGGTTGGGATTCAGAAAGGCCGGAATAATTCTAACTGGAACTGATGCAGAGTCTGACGACAGCTACGCAGAAGAGGAAGCGGCGCTCTGTTTACCACATGGATCTATGGTTCATCTCTGGAGGTTGTGCAGAAGTGACACAGAGGATGAAGAATTCAATGGATTTAGTGATTTGGAGTGAGATCATTAGTTTGGTAAACTTATGTTGTTTATGCTATAGTCATCTGAATATGTTACGTTAACATATTAACGCCTATTCAGCCTGTTGTTCTCTATTCTGTTGTTATTATTATAAAGTGCGACTTACGGTCTGGTGCGACTTATAATCCAGAAAATACGGTATTACCTTTTTTGAAATATTACTTGTTTAAATTTTAATCAGACATTTAGCAACTTTTTATATAGCATTCATATTACAGAGACGACACTCAAGTTTCAATTTTATATATCTACACGAAAACTACTTTGATGTAAACTATACTGTATACCTTCTTATCATATGCTCCTTGCACATACCTCAGTTCGTTTGAGCTCTCCAGTGCTCCTGCTGCTCTCATCATTGTCCATGTCTTCTTCCTCATCCTCTTCATCATCATCCTCCTCTTCTTCAGGTTCTTCATCCTCCTCTTCATCATCCTCTGCTGGTGAACCACCTCCATAACCATACATGCTTAATAACTCATGAATTGGCATCTCTCCCTCCTGTGTAATAAAAGTAGATTGTTATCTATAGAATAATGTGACAATTGTGACTATGATTTTTTGCAGTTCATGCTTACAAATACTTTCTGGCAGAAAACACTAGTTTTCAGTTTTCAACATTTTTAATAAATGTAACAAATAAGCAGTATGTAAATAGTAAGTAAAACATACAACTTAATGATAACATGGTGATAGCTCACTAAACTGCAGAAGTATTGTTATGATGAAGATTGAAGATTATATGAGTAACCATTAGGATCAAATCTGAGACTTCTGGAAATGAAAGGCAGAGTTTGAGAACTACTTGGATCACATAGCCACAGCCTACAGATTATAAATATGTAGTATTAAAACATAATTACGTATGATATACATGAGGTAGCGTGTAACGTTGACATTTTCTATACTGTACCCGTGCTAGGTCATCTATCTCATTAGCATTAGCTTCATCAGTTGCCTCCATCAACTCCTCTTCCTCCAGGGTTCTCTCATCATCAAAGTCATGCACAAGCATGTCTGCTGATGGGTCGAAATCATGGTCATCAGAACCTGCTGAACCTCCTGTAATTGATTTAATAAATTAAAGAGATAAAGCAGCAATTTGGAACCATGCATTCATTACTATAAAGCTACCATGTTGTAAGCAATATATACCAGACATGGGACCAAGTTAACGTTTTGCAAGTCTCAAGTAAGTCTCAAGTCTTTGACCTCAAGTCCGAGTCAAGTCCCAAGTCAAATACAGGCAAGTCCAAGTTGAGTCACTGGCCCATAAGTCCAAGTCAAATTCAAGTTGTCTGCTCTGAGCCTCAGGTCATTTCAAGTCTTTAAACCAAAGTACCAAATATATCTTAGATTTTTAAAATTTATATGAATTTTAAGATAAATCATAATATATTTATATGAGTATTTATAGAGTATATAAGAGTTTTAAAAAGGAAAAAATTGCATTTCTGCATGTCTTGACAAGATCTTAGTGTGAATCATTACAGTCAGAATAGAACAAATTCAGATTTAAAAGTGCTTCTCAAGTCCGAGTCAAGTCCAAATCAAGTCTCAATCAAGTCCCAAGTCTTAGTCCATTTTATCAAGTCATGTCTGAAATCGTAAAAAATAGTGACTCAAGTCCAAGTCACGACTTGCAAGTCCCCACCTCTGATATATCCAAAATCTAATCCTAAAATGTATTCCACACTAATATATCTCTGGTAAGAAATCAATAACACATAATAATAATGATAATTTACCTGGGCTCAAATTGCCAAAGGAGGACTGAAAGACAAAAAGATTACATTGAAATTATATTTACAGTTATAAACAACAATGGAAATATATGATTGTAAACAATAGTGGACTGCAAACAGCATGACGTCGTCTCGGGGTAAGAAAAAGCGCGCCTGACCTAAAGCATGGACTAAACCATATACTAAAAACGAAACAAAGACTGTGGGATCATCCTGCAACCAACTCTGGTCCTCCTTTAAGACCGTCTTTGCCGATTATATCAGTTAAACTCTTGCGTGTGCATTAACAAAGTTTTATGATCAACTAAGTAACATAAGATGACAAGTTTGAAGACCTCCCTCCTACAGCAACGTTAGCTCATTTTGGACACGCAAGTAATAACAATCTGCGCTATCAAAATAAATGCAATAACCACACCCCTTTGTTAACAGGAACACATAACACCCAAATAAAGAGATCTGTGTCGAGGCTTTGCAGTTGTTCAAGCAACAGAGGGGAAACATCGTTAATGCCGCAGAAGCATTGGCTAGCGGAGCTATATTAGCCAACCCCGAAGTTTAATAAACAGAGTTGTTTCAAAATATTAGATGTTATAGCATTGGAAATAGCGCATATATGACTAGATTTGTTACAGTTACAGTCAAAAGCACTGCAACTATGCAGATGAAATATATGTTGTCTTATATATGTATTTTTGCAATTATTTATTTCACTTTCTTACCTCCGCCATGTTTGCAATCCGACGGGTTCACGTAAGGGGTCAGCCAAAGACCCGGATGTTCAGTTCCGCCCCCTGCGCGACGCAAAACCAAAATAATACAATTATTTTAAAAACAAAATAACAATAAATAAATAAAAATATGTATTTATATTTGCCAAATTAACAAGATTTGTTTTTTATTCACATATTGTTACAATTATTCTTTGCCATGTATTTACAGCATCTTGAGAGAGTTCAATGTCCTTTTAATATTTAGAAAGGTGCTGGTAATGAGTATTTGAAAACACCCACATGAACAGGTAATCACTGATTTATTTGTGTGATAGTGGCCACAATGCACTATGTTGCCATGCAGAGGACCAACTGTTGTGGAAAACACATTTGCAGTAATCCTTAAACAAACACTTTTCTTATCCCTGACAATAAAAAACATATGCCCAGCGTTGAGAAGTAGGATTTTCTTAGGTCATTTAGGTCCATCAGTGGATCTTCTGATTCCAACACAAGTGCCAAATGGGCAGAATAAGTTCCATTTCTGAAAGCAAATGACAATTACCCAAGATACTATCATATTTCCGGTTATCTTACCAGAAAGACATCCTTTGCAGGTCTATAAAAGAAAAGGTTGGGGAAGCAGTTCAATAAACAACACATTCATCTCAAGATTTAAAGACAGCCTTTCATTTCAATGAGACGTGCAGTTGTGGTGGTTCTACTGTGCTTACTATGTGTGGCACAGGTTGAGAGCCAGAATAATGCCAACACTCTGCGGTTGTGTGGTCGAGCATTTGTGCGGGCGCTGGTTTTCACATGTGGAGGCTCCAGATGGAAGAGACTGATGACAGAGGAGGGGGCACTGCTCAGAGGTAACATATTACTTCTGTCATTATATTTCTACTCTCAACATTGTATTTAAAGGTGCACTATGTGACATTTTAGTGAGATGTCCACCACCTGCTTGTTTTATTGAAATGTTCAATAGAATGGCATCTCCAGTTCAAATTTCTTTTATTGCTCAATAGTATCTAAATGCATTCTTATGGTGAGCAGGCTCGCCTCTCCACAGATCAGGCCTGTAACTTGGCCTGGTCATATACAAGTGACATACAGTAGATTCCAGGCAAAGTATTAAAATCTCCATGGCAGAAATGTTACATAGTGCACTTTTAAGCCTTAACCAAAAGTGTTACAAATGAAACGTTCAACCACAATCTCATTGCAGAAACAACAGTGGAAAATCCTTTGAGCACAGAAGTTTTGAAGCCCATGAATCGCCAATGGAGGGACCAACACCAGGCGTTACTAACAGAGTGCTGCGATGTAGGATGTCAAAAGAGTGACCTAACTTTACTCTGCTGATGGAACACATCTCACTGAGCTTTAAGGATCACCAGTTTGTTTGTTAAATGTAATTTTATATCTTTAGTTAGTAAAAACATAAAATTTTACATTTCTGAGTTCTTTGTAGAGTTCTTTGTACATTTTGTAAAACATAAAACCTTTTTTTTTTTTTTACATATGTCACACTTACTCAAAATACACAACATACACAATTGCCACACCAAACAAAGAGCTGTTTTTAAATGAATAGGTGGCAAAATTGTCATTGGTTGCATCCCAGAGGCAACGGCTGCTGATCTGCATGCCCTGTCCACTTAACTGTCCTATATTAACTACAACAACAGTCTTATATCGCTGGATCATTAGCTCCTTCACGCGTGATCTGATCACCTGTGAGAACATTTGGTAATAATCAGACAACATACAGCTACAGACAAACTTATTTTTTTCCAAATAAAATTATTTCCAAATAATTTATTTTACTTACATCACATAATGTTTTTGTCATTTGTCGAGACCACTCAGCTTCATAGGTTTCATGCTGGAGATAACAAGTGAGCACATCCCTCAGTATTTCAGTGATAACTGGTACTGAGTGACGTCTATAAGGTCCTACAATATACAAGAAATACACATTGTACCTGAATATGGGTAACAACAGATAATAATAGGCTAAATAATGACAGTCATTTAAATACAGCTGACCTAGTTGATAAGTGTTTTCCATAGAAAGTCCTGTGTCATCATGGTGTAAGGGGTCCTCCACGTGTGAGACAGTGCTTATGGAGCTATGGATGGGTTACCAGAAACCATTAAGTTAACAAGAAATATCTATTTTATACAAATCAGCAATCTAACATTATTGAAAATGCATAAATTTAAGTACACCGTGTAGTCCATTACTTTGCCGCTTATCTTTACTTACTCTTTAGGTCTGCCATCTTTAGGTTTGTGCCCTGCGTCTGAGGGTAATCTTCCCATTTTCTTGTCTTTTTTCAGAGCTCTGTCTTTAAGCAGGTCCGACATGACAAGCTATAAATGGCAATATAATCAATATATAAAAGTAAACTTTAAAAAAACATCAACCATAAACTACAAACAAATGGCACAGAAAAGGTAAATGTTAAATAAAACAAAATCAGAACTTTAGCAAACATTTAACTCTAGCTTACATTACGCTTTATACAAGTTTTTTTATTTTATTTATTTCTTTTTTTATAAAGATAAATTTGGATGCACATTGCTCACCGCATAGTTTATCATAGTGCACTTTTGTCTGGGAAACGATTAAAGTTTGATAAGAGTAAAATAATGTACCTTTTATTTTGCTGGTTAGCCGTAGTCAAGGCTAAGCGTTATGTAGTCATGGCAACTGTTCCAGTGGGCGGGTTCACGCTTTACGTTGTTTGCGTGCGTCAGAGGACTTGAAGTTACGATCAAAACAAACCAAAAAGTTGTGCCAGTCTAAAAATAATATATAATACATTTTAATATAATATAATTCACAATAATAAACGCATTGACATAGATACTAAGAAGGCAAGAGGCAATATTTTATATCTCTTTATTACCAAGGGAAACAAGTATTACATTACAATGACTTTTTAAATATATAACTATACTTCAAATCTTTGGATGGGAAATTTACATGAAATGATTGCATATTATGTGTTCACTTTACATAATATAACTAAGTTATAAAAGAAAAAAAAAAATGCACCAACCCTCAAATGTTGACACCTTTACTAATAAGGCAACTAAAAATCATGTATGTGCTTTGCTGAAAAAAAATATATATATACACACACACACACACACACACACACACACACACACACACACACACACACACATATATATATATTTCTGTTGAAAATATGCCATTTTACTTCATAGCCAAAAACAAACCAGCCAACCAAAAAAATAAAATAAATAATAATAATCCAACACATATATTCTCAACAGAAGCTACACATCAGTTGTAGGCTATTTTAAGATAATGTCACATACGTTTGAGTCCAATTGTGAGACTGACACCACCAACGGTAAAACAGGTGCTATTGTTTTTAATCTGAATTAAACACATTTTTAATCTCAGTTTAAATGTGACATTACCACCAAAACATTGGTGAAAGTTAAAGACAAGATAAAAAAACAGCCTCATAACAAAAGTAGCATTACTTGATAGTAGACATTTATTTTGTGGGAAAATTGCATTGTGCATTTGCAAATTTCATGCACCACTGTTTGGGAGTCAATCAATGGCCACACATTTGGACAAAAAACATTCCCAACAAAACATGGTGCAGAGTTAAATAAAAACCTGACAGCAATAAAAAACAACAACAACAAAATAGACCCATATGTCCTTCAAAAGACATTTTATATACACTTTTTACAAGGTTTTATATTGCTATCAGAAAACAAGATTACTGAACATGGTGGAAAAAGAAGAAAATAAATTATGAATAGTATTTTATCTGTATGCCTTTCACCCATCTTGCAGTCAGAAGTGTCAAAGGCAACTCTAAAATTTGTCAGCTGTCTTTCTTTTACATGTATCTTAAAGCTCCATCCCACCACAACTTTATGGCACAGCAAACATTTAAGGCCATTTCAGATTAATACAACAGTCCAACTTTAAGCACTTCTGTCATATTATATTAACAAAACACACACAGTCATCATCACTCATCATTGCACAATCCCATATTGGTAATTTCTCACTATGGATAAAAACACTGCCTTAGTATAGACCTCGGCAGCATCTTTATGAGTCCCTTCACATTTGAGGGGAGCACAACTGCTGGAACAAAAAGCCAAAACGTCTGGCTATAGATGGCAGTGTAAATAAACAACAGCAAATTAACCTTATGCTACAAATTTCTAATATTTTCTATCAGTTTCCACCTTGTTTAAGATTGTTTCATACTTTATTATAATCTATTTAGTATTCACATTGTTTTTACAGTGCAAAGACAACAGGTTAGACAAAACAAACTGAGGAATAAGGCTGGATCACTGCATGAATCCACAAATCCACAAAACCTAAAAAATAGGTGGATGTACTTACATTTGACTCCAAGTGTTCCAAGTGCACAAAACTAATCATCTGTTTTTACTTGCATAATCTCAGCAGTAGCCAGTCTATTGAAGTAGTTTTGTGTTATTGTGTTAAAATAGCACGTTAAACAGCTGCTAAAGATGTAGATTAAAATGTGTTGAGATAAAGTTCAAGGGTTCACAGTCAAAAGCCAATGTTCCATCTGTGATCTGTTCTGTTATTTATCTGCCAAATATTTTCCTGCAAAGACATAAAACCAGAAGCATAATCAATTAACAAGAAGATATTCTTATGAAAGGACACACTGTCCAACAGCTAGAAAATAAAGCTAACCAAAACTAAACCACTAAACAAGAACAACAAACAAGCACATCTAAACAGAATACTTATGTTATGCTATGACATGTATAGTGAGCTGCTAAATGTTATGTATGTGATTGTGTTAAAACATGTGATGTATGAGTACTCTGTACTATTGTACATGCAGCACAGTGATAAGGTGCAAAGCTACAGGATAGATCAGGCTTCTCTACCTTCATGCATTAAATATACATAGTCCTGATACATACACAGATGAAATGAGCCCAAGATAGATTTGTTAAGAGTTAGATGTATAACATTTCTGGAACATTTCAGTCTTTATTTTCTATATGATAATAGTGTTTAATCAATATTTCAAGAAAGGCAGCACAATATCAGCAATATCAATAATGACACAATTCTAAGCTAACCTGCGGCAAATCTCTTTTTGACCAGTGATAGCCGGTATCCAGTCCCCACCAGTTGGATGTCACAACCAGAAAGAGTGCTACCCTCAGAGCTGAACTGAACAGAGAGCTGTGAGGGCTTACATGGACCCTCAGTCATCTGGAAACGTCCTAGCAAAGCCCCAACTCCTACAAAAAAGCGGAATCAATTGTTTTATACAAAATTTTACAAATTTACAGTTTGTTTAGAGTCTTTTAATTGTAATATGGTTACCTCCGTTTTCAGATCTATGAGAAAGACTAGGGATCTTCCACTGTATGGTCTGTGGCTCTGGAGTCCTGAAAAGAAAATAATTTTATATTTCAGAAATCAGATTTTAGTTTGTACAGCATATAAGGAGGATCTTATCTAGGCCCATACTGCCCTTACCATGTGGCAGGTGGGATCATGGTCTGGAGTTTGGCAATGCCTCCATCCACTGGGACCACAAAAATTATGTTGTGTAACGGAGCAGGGGCAGCCATAGCCCCAGTGTTGTATTTGTAGTCTATTCTGAGGTCGGTGGAGTTGGCATCACCTCTCCAGCTCACAGCCAAGTTCAGTGGAGTCGACTGGATGCCCTGGGCTGAGACCTGATGAGCATGGACAAAAGTTACTCTATTTGTATTTATTTATTTATTATTATTATTTATTTATTCATTATTTATTTTATTTTTTTTACAAATTAGGACATGAAACATTTCCATAGACATACTTGGTATTTGATCATATCCACATTGTAATATGTCGCCTGCGGTTTCTGCTCAGCAATCTTCTTGAGATGGCTCATCAAGTTTGGCATATTGACCGAGAACTCCTTAATGTTTGTGCTCTGTGTTAAGGATTCACTAAAGCATAAAGCATTATTGATCTTAATGTCAAAGCTAATGTTATTGTTGTTATAAGTGTTTACTATTTTCTTACCAGCACAGCAGTTGTGGGTTAGGTAGGACTTGTTCTAATCGATTATAGTTGATAATATTAAAAGTAAGGGTAGGCTGAGTTGGGTGACTTGCAAAATGTCGGGTTATACCCGCAGGAAAGGACAGAACCATCTCCCCCGTGATCTTTACAACACATCTGACACACACACAAGTCATGTATTAACAACAAATATGAATGAAATACTCGAATGTAACAAAAAGTTATTATATTCTTTTGAGGAGTTTTAAAGAGTGGCCTTACTTGCTGGGGTCAGCGCCTTTGAAGTAGGCATTGATTGTTTCTGTGAAGGCAGCTGCCACTGGTAGAGTGTCCTGTGGCCCCATAGTCAGTGGACTGGGTCCTCTGGAGCACCCTAAGGCACACACACATGTACAAACATTTAAACACATATGTAATACATATGCACCATGTCAAGCTAAAAGCACTGCATCTATAGTTCTCATATTTTCTAATTTATGTTATTCTAAACTTAACTGCTTCAGGCACAGAGTGGATGGAAAGCAACTACTCCTAAGTCATGCACCGGTAGCCATACAGAAGTGCAGTATCTGACTCAGCTCACCTTCAAAAGCTAAATAGAACCTGCCATGGTCAAACCACACCAGAGGCTGAGGTGCCTCTAAGCAGGAGACATGAGGAGAAAAAAAGATGAATGGACAGGAAGGAGTGGTGAAGGTGTGTCAATGGTAAAGATAAAAAACAGGTAAAGCCAAAAGATGATGACAGCTGTCTGAATATAAACTACAGAAGTCTACATGTACCTGTATGTATCCCTAGGGTCGGGGTGGATGCTGCACTGTGTGAGGTAATGGAGGAGATGGAGGAAGAACTCTCTGCTCTAGCCAGAGGGGCGAAAGGTGGAGGACTGCTGGAGACAGGAGGACTATAGGACCGGCTCTGGAAAAACAACACACCCTGATGATGCAGTTCATTCAACACACCACATAAAACAGTTCACAGCTTTAATCACATACTAGATCAGAGAAGGGTTTCCCTGGAGGCAGCTTAGGGCGAGAGGACGGCCGAGGAGGAGGAGGTGGTGGGACAGGACTGCCTCGAGACTGAGGTGTGACTGAGCGAGCTGGAGATGAGGGACCTAAGTGGAACATAAAGTCTTTTGCTTTTGTTCAGTGTAGTTGAATGCTGACAACAGGAAGAAGAACATCTACTCTTTTTTTTTTTTTTTAACAAATCTCAGGAATTTTTTTTAATATATATTTCCGCTGTCGATGCCAAATAGCTGCAAGTATATTCACCTATCCACAACATTTCCCATGTCACCATTATCTGTCTGGTTATGTGATTTTGAAAAGAAAGGGTACATTGTTGATTGACTTGAAAAATCAACCTAGTTTATGTAATATTTTAACTTCAAGACTTTTCTCTAGTTCTTCATTAACCTAACTGAAGCCTCATTACAATTTGAGATTGCATCAGAAGTGCAGGTCACTAACAGTCAGATGTAAAAGTGGCCAGGTCGGAATAAGGTAAATAACTGCCACATACATATGTACATATGAAGCATCTTCTGTTCAAAACAATGAAAACATGCCAGAGATATAGTGTGTTACTCACTGCTACCAGAGTGGGGCCCAGGGGAAGACATGATGGACCTGTAGGTTGTGGGGGGAAGGGGAGGTGGGGTACTCCTAAAAATGGGGGTCAGTTCTCGGGGTGAGCCCACAATGTCTGGGAAATCATCTCTCAAGTATGACCCCTCAGGAGTGCCTTTCCCACTCGTGACCAACGGAGAGGTCACTGCGGTGCGGTGCCTCCATTCCACCGGGAGGGGGGGTACAGGACTGGTGGGTGCAGGTGAAGAACTGTACTCTGCAAATTGAAGCACCTCCTCATCCAGGGCATCTTCATCAAGGCAGATAGGCGGTAAATGACAGGGTGAGAAGTCAGGAGGTAGGGGTGGGGCGGGTTCATCAGGAGGAGGTGGCCCAAGCATGATGGAGGGGGGTGAATCCAGGGGGGTAAATGGAGATCCTGGTGAAAACGGTGGAGGCGATGGTGGTGGTTCGTTTGGTGGCGGTCCAGGAGAGAGACATGGCGTGGATGGGGTGGACAGAGGTGTTCCTGGGGCAGGTGAGTCCGGTGGGGGAGGAGGAGCAGGTTCATCCGGAGGTGGAGGTCGGTCTTCAAGGAAGGTGACCCATCTGGGAGACATGGTGTCCTCTCTGGTGTGCGAGCTGTCAACAGGTCCAAATACATCGTCCAAGTCAGGGGCAGGGGAACCTCGGTGGGATGCAGGGGACAGGACATTCAGATAGATGGGTGCAGAACTACGAGCTGCTCTTCCATTTGGTAAATCGGCTGAAAAAATGAAATTTGGTTAAGGTCTCTTGTGAAAATTACCTCCCAGACTTGAAAAGAACCTGATGGATGAGCTTACCAACACATTCAGATGGATATCCATAGTGGCATCTAGAAGGAATGTTTTTAGGAGGAAGAGGAGGGGGAGCTATGGTGAAGGAAAAACAATATTTTTATATACAAATATAGATGATATATACTTAATTCTATCAGATAGACCAGTGTTTCTCACCTCCTGTTGGGAAGCTCCTGCTCAGAGCTGATTCAGAATGTGGTCTACATTCTCCCCATGCATCTGTAGGAACCACTGTTACACATGAAAAACAAATTATCATCAAATAGTAAATATCGCTAATGTATTAATGTATGATCAGACAGACCATCGTATCGGGCATATTTGATCTCTGGAGGAAGTCCAAAAAAGGTAGGGGCATTTTGTGATAACCTATCTCTGTAAAATAAAAAAAATAAATAAATAAACACGCTTTAACAAACAGACATAACTTGTGCAATTAATGCATACATGGGGATCTCCGGGGCAGCTGTGGGTGTGGATCTTCTGGGCCTTGCAATCTCCTCACCTTAAAAAAAATAAATTAATAAAAAAAATAATAATAATAATATATATATATATATATATATATATATATATATATATATATATATATCTTTTGTTCTAGTCTAAAAAATTTGAAAAAAATCTAACAAACACTTACAGGATAGATTTCTTTTCATCTGTCCCTAGAAAACACAAACAAATATGTCATTAAGTATAAAGTGCATGAGACTGAGTACAACACCAAAGTTTAGAAACAGTGAATTAGTGTAACTGTGCCAATAAGAAAATATGTACAATATGTTTTCAGCCACAGTAATAATGCTGAACAATGCATAGTAAGAAACAATATGACCAGTCCTACCAAATGTTTACTGATGCTTACAAAGTAGTTTTTGAGGCCATGGTCCAAATAATTGTTGTGGGGAACTTACCGGGCTACGTCTCTGAGACCAGCAAAAAGGAAGAGAGAACAGACCTGGGTCAGAAAGTGAGTGACATATCAGTCAGATGGACACCAACAAAAACGCACAAGAGCCTCTTTACTTTTATTGCAAAGTGTTGGGGTGTGACATTAGCCATAAGATCACTTAGAGCACCAGAGCTTTCAACTTTAGTGTAAATCGCAAGTAAACATTGCAAGAAGTAAAGATTTGCTCAACAAAGGAAACTCAAAAAGGTTGGAGGTTGTTAGATTCTGCACAAACACAATACATGGTGTTAGAAAAGGACTTAAAATGACATACAACAGTGTTTCTCAAACTCTTTGATCCAGGCATCACCACATACAGAATACAGTTTACTGTATTATATTGTGTTATGACGTTTATTTTACCAAGCTGCCAAGACAAAATATTTTATTAAATAGTTCTGATATATAGAAATAAAGTAAAAGTAAAAACTTGAACCCCAATTCAACCAGGACTAAACCACCTCTAAACTAATACTAGTCAAGGATTAACTCAGGTCAATACCAAGACCAGACACACCAAACTTGAAGTAACTAACCAGAAAGCCTCACAAAAAGATTTTGTACCTGTATCACGATTTGAGAAGCACTGAAATATAACAAAAGAACACCATGCCATGCAGTCTTTTCTGCTAATTCTACTTGCTTACCGGACTCCGCTTCTACAAGATGGCAACAAAAAAGCACAGAGGGAAAACGTCAGACTGAAAAGAGGTATGCATGTGACAGCTGTAACAGTTTGGGTGTGATCTGAACAACCACACAGTGTCCTTGTCAGTGCTCACCAGAGATGGAGAGAGCGCCAGGCCCCCCACCGAGGCTTTGAGCTCATCCATTGAGGGAGGCAAACACTTGGCACTGTCTGAAACCAGCGGCTTGATCCTGATTTTGAACTTTCTCTTGCTGTCCTCGTCGTCCTCTGAGTCACTGGAGGAGAAAAAGTGTTTCCCCTTGGAGGCGGGTGAAATCTTAGTCAAGGACAAACTGAGAGGCTTATTTAGACGATAAATATGAGCTAGCTTATAATTATGATACAAATTCGGGGGTTGTTACAATAGATTTGCTTGTTAACAGGATATTGTCCCCATCATCACCAGGCCGAAGGCTGAAACCCTCCTCATCAACATCAGGGGACGCCTACAAGGACGCAAAGAGTTACACTGATCTGAGGAAAACTTAATCACTGGATCAAATGCTCAGTGGCCTCTTCACTAGTGCTGACTCTACAAATTTACTGTTCCAAAATGTAATTTTAGACCCAGAATTACTTACATATCTATCCCAGTCGATTTCCCCATAAAACCCATTGGGCGCTCCATTCGCCTTTTTCTATACATTAATGTAAGAAATAGTGTCATAAAACGACTTAACAACTAAATCCAACAAAAAAAGTAATTTGAACTTACACTTCCTTTCTTCCCAGTTCCACCTCCTTCTTTGTCAGGTGAGCTTCTGATAATAAAAATACATGTATACAATACACTATTAATTTGAGCTAGGTGTTAGACACTATATCATCAAATCTAAGTTCAACACATATTTTTGCATATATCAACAAAACTCACGTGTCTGAATCCCTGTCTTTTCTTCGCAGACCCAGGGCTTTCCTGGTGCGGTTTTTCAGTCCTAGACAAAATATATAATACAGAAATAATAGAAAAAAATGGGCTAGTAATGGTGATGTACTGTTTTGCATGTTCCACTTTGGATGTACAGAATATTCATTTGTGACCCATGCATATTGCCATGTGCTCCTTAATGCAGCACAGTAGCTTTTGACATAGTGCCCTTACTCTCATTGTATGGAAAAGAAAGCATTCGCTAGCAAGAATTGATCAGTGGCCAACTTCATTAGCGTGAGAGACCCACTCGAGTCTGCCAAACTGGATGCCAAACCCCCTGCAGCAGTGACGCCTGGCAGCATGCAACGCATGCCAACCCTCAAACCCAAAAATTTATGACAAGTTTATCCAAATAATGTAGTCTTTAGCTTTTTGGTCTATCAAAATTGGCAAGACAAACAATTAAAAACAAATAATTGCTACCACGTTATATAAAAGTACATAAGAACTAACAGAAACAACAAAAAACAATGAAGTAAACTGTACAGAAAATTTGTGTTCAAGATTAGTGTCGCCCAAAAGTAAACAAAGCAGAGTAGTTGCACTAATCCTGATGGGGATGGAGAGCACTACGTGTGTGTGCATCACTCGTGCGCACAGGGACATGCTGAGGTCTGTGTTACATTAGGAGCTGCTCAATGGCAAAGACTGTTCCAGAATTATGCTTTCCAGCTACATGTGTATCAGGGTGTCAGAGTTAAAAATAAAAGAAAATAAATTTTGAACAAGTGGAATTATGCAATGATAAATTATAAACAATGACTGTACAGTGAAGTACAGTGTTGTTTAATTTACTTAATTTGCCATTCACTTCTCCTGTGTGTTTGTTGATAATTTTATTACAGAATCAAAAAGATCGATATTAATTATATAAGATTAACACTATATGAGCAGGATCAACGCTTAAAACTACCCATTTTACTACTTAAATCCATGACACGTTTCTCAGCAAAATTTCCCAGGGTTTATTATTTTATACAAATATCATTTAAATCTACACAAATTAACTGTACATTAAAACAGTGAGTTAAAGTGTATATATACATTAACTAAATTAAACTAAGTACATAAAACATATGGCCAAGCAGAGACTGGTAAGATTTTATCTAACCAGGCATAAATCATCTACAGACATGTTCTACTTCTTTGGACACTCACAGTCTTTCACATCATGGAACCATTCATCCATTCAAACTCACAAGCATTCACCATACATTCACTGCAGTCCCAGACACTGGGGGCAGGGTGATCAAAGTGTCTTGCCCAAGGACACTTCAACCGTATGAATTAGAAGAAAGGCACCCTTCCTGTTATTGAACATAGATGTTCTCATACACAATCATCAAACTGCTCATGATTATACGAACTGTATATGAGTCAGATTCTTTATCATAAACATGTATTCATTATAGAATCCCTTTGCTTCTTGAGGTAAACTATCACAGCTGCCCGACAGCAGACCTCTGGCTAATTATAGCAGGCACTTCCATTACCTTAATGGATGTTAAAGGTCCAGCGTGCTTGATTTATAACACACGGTACAAATGAGTTACTTTAACTTGATACTTTTACATGGCGTATGTTGGTATGGTGTATGACAAATACCTTCTCAGCAAATGGGATGCAAGTAGTAGCATTAATAAAAGGAGTTGTATGTCTTATCTAAAGCAGCTCCACAGTACACGTTGATTCCATGCTTTACACTAATCTGTGACTTTGTGCTTACACGTGTTGTTACATCAGTCAGGCAAATATCAGCATAGCTCCAGAGGTCCACATAGCACAACGGATCACATCACTGCTAACTGTAATAGCCCAGCAGGGCAGCCAGAGGAGGGCAGGAAGAGGACACACACAAATAACATGTAATAAAATGAGACAGAGGGGTGCAAAGATTTACCTTGCATCATGATTGCAAATTTTCATCCTATGTTGCCCCAAGCCTGGTGTGCAAGCTGCTAAATCAGAAATCCTGCCAGTCAGAAGGTGCCTCGACAGGGCATAGCTAATGCTCCATGATGCTGAGTCCTTCCTCCCCCCAAAGGACTGGACAGCCAATTATCCGCACAGAGGAGATGGGGTTTAGGCTCCACCGTCAGATGCAGAGAGGTCCACTGTTTCGGGGGAAGGTGTCCCCTGAGCAAAAGGCTAGGCCCCAGAAGCCTGAGCAGCATCGACACACGCCATCTCTGAGAGGGGGATGCTGAGGAAAGGAGAGAGAAAAAACAGTGCGTTGGAGAGAGAGAGCTGGGCGAGAGAGGCAGAGAGACAATGTAGGGGGGGCCTGGTGATGTCACATCTGCACTAAACCAATCCTTGACACCGCAGTCACATGGCTCTGCTCCTAATGCTCCAGCTCTGTCAGTCCTGTAGCTGCACTCTACAGCTCAACGACACGTGAAGAGGACAAGATTAAAGCCACTACACAGTCAACAGTCACTCTCTACAAATGATGTCTACTCAGGCCTGTATGCACGGGGTTCAGTTTCCAGCTATAGGTGACATCTTAATGACTTTTTACCATTCAAAAGTTTTCATATGTAGCCTATAATTGTTATATATAGGCTACTACACGCAAGTTGAATATCTAAACCGTCAACAGTAGGTTACATTTGTTTTAGAGCACATGCCAAATATTCAGCCAGTGCACTTTACTTTGTTGCAGGATAAAGGGTCTCTCATGTTCAATATGTTTGGACAAATGGCCAGAGACAAGAAGACATTAAGGGGACTTGCACACCTACACCATTAGGACCACTTTAAGCGGACACTTGCAGTAACTGTACTTTTAAGAATTTGGAGGAAAACTGACAACGCATATTGTCTAGATGTTATGCAGTATCTATTACAAAAATCATTGGGTATAAATATTTATATTATATTTATTTAGGCTAATTGCTTGTAAGAGCACATAAAAATATTGTCATAATTGTCATATGTGATATCAATTTAATTGTCCTAAACCTAAATCATCATAAAACTATAAGCTAATTTAATGCCACAGCACAAGCTTTATTTGGTTCATGATTCTTAGAAAACTTCAGTACTCTAAAGTTTGCTCTTTTAGCATGGATTACATGAATTGTTACTTGGCCCGGTTCCATCTTTAGTGCGTCCATCATCCGGGTCAAAGTTGATAATCATCTAAGGATCAGAGAAGAATATAGAGTAGCCCAGTCTGAACTTTTTGATCCATGAGCCTGACTGCTCAACCAATTTAGAAATGCCCAGAAATTAGATTATAAAAGAAAATAAATTAAATACACAATCAAATTGCTTAAAGGTCCTGTATTACAATTGACTCTTGTGAGCTTTAAACCATGTTAAAATGTTGTTACCTCTTCAAAAACACACCTGGGGTTTTGTTTTTTCTTTCATTCATGCATGTTTGATTAATCCTGCATTATTAGTCTGTCTACATCTCCAAAACTGAAAATGCTCTGTTCCACCTGGTGATGTCATATAGTGGTAATTTTCAACAGCTACTTTTCACCTTTTGTTCAGAGAAATCATTCAAATTATTTTAGTAATGGTGTATGGAGTTTAAAAACACAGTGGGGCATTTCCTGTATTACATATGAGATCACAGGGTGGAACAATGTTTTCACTTTGAGAGAACTCAGCCAAAGTATCCAGGGTCTTGCGTGTTAAACATGTGCGAATGAAAAAACAAAACACAACTCCAAAGATGGTTTTGATGAGGAATCAGCAGTATAACATAGATCACAAAATAGCATAATACGGGCCCTTTAATGTTGTTGTTTTATAGATTTATTCGATTCAAGCAATTTTGCTGATAACGATCAAACAAAACATTTTAAGCCAGCAGTTTCACAAGTAGGCCTACTTGGAGTTTAAACTAAGAATAGGCCCTACTACACACAAAGTCATATAAAGTGTTATTTGTGAAAAGGCATAATAACAGCAAGAACAAGAAGTCTATGATATAGCCTATGTGGGTTGTAGGTCTCCTACAAAAAATAAATGTCTATTTTCAGTCCCTGGATTGCAAACAATTACTCAGTCTTGACACTAGGTGGTGCCCCAACACAAACCAGCCACCCTAGGCCTCCCCAGCTCAGATGGAAATAGAGATAGGACTACCAAACTGTATTTTACCCAGCTAACCACCTAATGTGTTAGACATCATCTGAATTGCCTGTTTTTGTGCACATTATGATTTTCAGGTTAGACTGACCAAAATCTCCCCCTGTGGTCAGTGTCGGAGTCGTCAGGAGATGGCAGTGTTTTGCACTTGTGAATGCACCAATTGTCTCTGGGCAGAAAAGGCTGAAGACTGAGAAAAAAGGAGCAAGAGGATGATGTAATCCCATAAAATCTGCTACAATGGACACCAGGTAATGGCAACACAGACAGTCCATGCAACTGTATTTCTGTCACAAACGCATGATGCTAACAAACAATACTGTAAATATTGGTTATTTGTGGTAATTAAGGTAATTGTAATGAACAGAATGTCCTTTGTTTATGGGGGTAACCCAACTGAAATTACCCTCTGATGCAGGCATATTTGTATTGCTATTTTTCTCAAGATGTCATTACTATTTAGCATTTACTTTAGTACTTTCTTCGATTCACCGTTTTACAGACCTTGCCATAAGCTGTACTTTCAGGTGTCCTTGTTGAACAGTGTTAGATTTTTAGAAAACATTAGTCATCATACTAGAGGACTTAATTCTTCTGTTATGCAAATGATCGGAAAGAAACTAACTGCATGCCTGAAGCAATCTATTGATGTAAGTGAGCAGTGAGGTGCTGTTAGTTATAAATAGGAGTTATTCATGGAAATTAATTATTACAGTCTTAGTTTGGTGATTTACTCATTAAGTTTAGACAGACCTGGCCTAGTTTAGTTTAGTTCTGACTTTTACTATGTTAGTCTTAGTTTAATCCTTGCTTAAATAAAACCTAGCATTGTTCAGTCCTCATGTATACTAGGTTCCCATCTACTCTGGGTTATTATTTTATCTACAAACAACTCATCATATTTGATTCCCTGTCAATATATGTAACAGAAAACATTTCACAGTGACTGTATAAAAGTCTAGGCCAAAGATCTGCCTTGTTTGCATATGACCTCAGTCCCAACGCCTAAGGCTAAACAGAAACACCATCCATTATGAGGAGTGGTTAACCAGCTCTCTCCCAAATTACAGTGACTCTGGGTTCCCATTTTACTGATTTAGCGGTTGTGTGGTTCCCCATCTCATGTTACGGACTATTATAGCGAGACAAACTCACGCAGGCCATCCTCCCCTTGTAAAAACTACCTCGCCATTTGGATTTAACAAGCACCAACCGGGTAGCACAGGGTAGCACTTTGAGGGAAAGTTTACTTATTTTACAAAATGACATTTCAAGTTAAATTGCCAGTCCAATTCGTTGAGCTATGATGGATCATGTTGCATTGTTGCTTCAGTAACACGGCCAGCTCCAGGCGAAGTCTTGACCACATCCTCCGTCATGGCAGGGGGAACATTTTTACCACCATGACCAAACAACTGTTAAATATGTTTTTTAGCAGATGACATTTGCTGAGCTTCGATGTTTTTAAATCAACAGGTTTTTAGTTTGATTGGCAGCTGTGAAAAGGTATCCAGATAACTTTGAGCATGTAGAGCTGACCCTGCTTTAAACCTGCTGGCACACCTCCTGTCTGCACCCAACCCCCTCCCAGTCTAACTCCTAGCCTATCCCAACAACATTTACCCTGCCCCAAACTCCTTTAGGAACATCTGTCTTGTTTTAATGGTGACCTATGACCTCTAGGGCTAAAGATAAGTTAACCTTTACAACCATGTCCTGGAACAGGCTACATATTCGCTTGTAATACTATTGTGTTGCGTGTGTGGACAGCTGAGTGGAATAAGACTGTAATAAAATAAGTTACGTAGACTTGGTTGAAGAGGGGAAAGCTACAAGTTTTAAAGAATTTCGTCTGTAGCTGTATTCCTCCTGTTCTGCCAACACCAGTAAAGGGATTTTCCTTCCCACCATCTCCGGCTATGGAAAGCTATTTCCGGATTGTGTCGTTCATTTACTTAGTTTGCTGAGCGCCCAAGAATGAGAGGCCATGGAAAAGTGAGTGTGGCAATGTGGCTTTAGTGGTAAAGACAGACACAGAGAAAGAGAGTATGTGTAAGAGGTGGATCGCTACGAACAAGCCAAAGCAAGGGACGTTTTTACAGAAATAGCACAAGTAAGAATCTCTGGGGGCTGCAATCAGAATGATGAACATGATGAATAAAAACACTGTCACCAATGTCCCATATGCTTCACAAAGACCAATGTTTCTCAAATAATGTTGCATGTAATAGTGGTAAAGGCATGTTTTGGTTGGTCCAGTTTGGAATTTAAATCATTCTTTCTTAGAATTTGCCCAGCCTTTAGTTTCGCTTTAGTTCCTAGTTTAGTACAGATTTTCAGGTTTTGTTCTTGGATTGTCTTTTACTCCTGTTTTAGCCCTGGTTTGGTCATAAATGAGTGGTATAGGTTTATCTCCACTTAGTCCCGGTTTTGTATAGGTTGTAGTGTTGTCACAATACTACAGTTTCAAGTTCCATTTTGATACTAAGGAAAAGGCTTGATGTATCAATTTTTGTGCCACAATCATAATAAAAACACTAGTTTGTTTAATGTTACCATGTGATATTATACTCGTTAAGATATTGTTAATCATAAGAACTGACAATTTTAGGGGAAAAAAAAGTAATTTCAATTAACCCTCCAAAAATAAACATAAATGTAAAGTGCTTTTAGTATTGACTAGTATCTAGTTATTGATTTTTGGAGAGATTGTGGTTCAGTAATTTACATTTGTCTTCATTAGTACCCATGCACGTTTTAGGGGGGATGTGGTGTGAGAGGTTTAAGAATCAGTTCTCCGTACAGTACTTCAGCTAAACACTAGACAATGGCTTCTGTTGACCTATTTACCTTTTGACATTTCATGTATTAGTTTAGGCTAACCCTCTGTGACAAGCGTAATTTCCAAAGAAAGGTGGTCATATGAGCTTAAGAGGCCTTCGACCTTCCAGCACAATGCTCTATCCGTGTTAGATGACCAAACAGGATTGAATCCAGTCACTAAACTCATCTTTGTTTTGACCCCAGGGGGCTTTACAGGAAGAATAGGCCAAAAGGAACAAGGCACATTTGAGCTCCCACA